TCACTGCTAAAATTGATGATGCCATGGAGGCCATCTTATTAGCAGGTAGTGGGGCTTGGTTTAGCAAAACAGATATAACAAACACCTTCAAATTACTACCTATTCGCCCCTCACTATGGCACTTACACAGTGTTAAATGGAGAAACAGGTATTTTTTCGCCACCCGGCTCACTTTTGGCTCTAGGAGCAGCCCCAGGTTATTCGATATCTTCGCAGAAGTCCTCTGCTGGCTGCTCCGAAATATACTCAGGTGACCCTCTGTCATCTACTACCTAGACGATTTTTTTATTGATAGAACCAGGTTCACAATCCCCTCACTGCATACACTCCACCACAGCTTTTTTCACAACACTCGGTGTCCCCTTGTCACCTAGCAAAACACTCGGTCCCTCCACCAAGCTTGTTTTCTTGGGCATAGTACTCGACACCACTACCTTCCAAGCCAGTTTACCACCAGACAAGCTGTCTCTATCAGCATACAGTAAATCCCCCCAAAGACGAGAAAGAGCTCCGTCAAGCAGCGGTCTGGTTTAATGAGGGCTACCTGCCCAGTATTTATGCAGGTCTCCCACCTGGTGGACACTCCCCTAGGGGACCAAATGGGAGACTGTGACAAAGGACAGACATGAACCAATGACAGACACACAGAGGTAAAATATCCCCACAATGCATCCTAACTTCCCTCCCTCTGTCCTGAAGATAATTGGCCAGACAGGGTGTGTTTTGTCATCACCAATGACAAGCACGCCCCATCACAAAGTGAGCATGTTGGTTCAATGCTCTTCCAGGGTAGACCATGCGCAGAGCTCTGCTGAAGAGCTCTGGCATGAGAAAAATACCCTGTATTTATTCTGCACAGCGCAAGCAAATTTAATAACATGCTTGCACTGTGTGCATCCTAACTTCCCTCCCTCTGTCCTGGAGATAATTGGCCAGAAAGGGTATGTTTTGTCATCACCAATGACAAGCACGCCCCATCACAAAGTGAGCATGTTGGTTCAATGCTCTTCCAGGGTAGACCATGCGCAGAGCTCTGCTGAAGAGAAAAATACCCTGTATTTGTTCTGCACAGCACAAGCAAATTTAATAACATGCTTGCACAGTGTTTGCTTGAAATTTGTCTCTGGTGTCTCCATAGTTGGGATACCAGGAGACAATAATGCCAGGAAAGCATATTGCGCAGTGTGTGTGAGGGTGCTCTGTGTGTGTGTGTGTGTAAGGGGTGCAGTGTGTGTGTGAGTGATGGGTGCTGTGTTTGCGTGAGGGTGCTATGTGGGTAAGGGTGCTGTGTGTGTGATGGGTGCAGTGTGTGTGTGCTGTGTGTGAGTGGGTGCTGTGTTTGCGTGAGGGTGCAATGTGCATGTGAGGAGGTTGTGTGTGAGGGTGCAGTGTATGCATGTGAGGAAGCTGTGAGTGTCAGGGGTGCAGTGTGTGTGAGTGAGGGTGCTGTGAGTGTCAGGGGTGCAGTGTGTGTGTGTGTGTGATGTGTGTGTGTGAGTGATGGGTCCTGTGTTTGTGTGAGGGTGCTATGTGGGTAAGGGTGCTGTGTGTGTGATGGGTGCAGTGTGTGTGTGCTGTGTGTGAGTGGGTGCTGTGTTTGCATGAGGGTGCTATGTGCATGTGAGGAAGCTGTTTGTGAGGGTGCAGTGTATGCATGTGAGGAAGCTGTGAGTGTCAGGGGTGCAGTGTGTGTGAGTGAGGGTGCTGTGAGTGTCAGGGGTGCAGTGTGTGTGTGTGCTGTGTGTGTCAGGGGTGCAGTGTGTGTGTGACGGTGCTGTGAGTGTTAGGGGTGCATTTTGTGTGTGTTGTGAGTGTCAGGGGTGCAGTGTGTGTGTGAGGGTGCTGTGAGTGTTAGGGGTGCATTGTGTGTGCTGTGAGTGTCAGGGGTGCAGTGTGTGTGAGGGTGCTGTGAGTTTCAGGGGTGCAGTGTGTGTGTGTGCTGTGCGTGTCAGGGTTGCAGTGTGTGTGTGGCGGTGCTGTGAGTGGGGTGCATTTTGTGTGTTGTGAGTGTCAGGGTTGCAGTGTGTGTGTGAGGGTGCTGTGAGTGTTAGGGGTGTATTGTGTGTGTGTGCTGTGAGTGTCAGGGGTGCAGTGTGTGTGAGGGTGCTGTGAGTGTCAGGGGTGCAGTGTGTGTGTAAGGGTGCTGTGAGTGTTAGGGGTGCATTGTGTGTGTGCTGTGAGTGTCAGGCGTGCAGTGTGTGTGTGAGGGTGCTGTGAGTGTCAGGGGTGCAGTGTGTGTGTGTGCTGTGAGTGTTAGGGTGCAGTGTGTGTGTGCTGTGAGTGTTAGGGTGCAGTGTGTGTGAGGTTGCTGTGAGTGTTAGGGGTGCAGTGTGTGTGTGAGGGTGCTGTGAGTGTTAGGGGTGCTGTGTGTGTGTGTGTGTGTGCTGTGAGTGTTAGGGGTGCAGTGTGTGTGTGAGGGTGCTGTGAGTGTTAGGGGTGCTGTGTGTGTGTGTGTGCTGTGAGTGTTAGGGGTGCAGTGTGTGTGTGTGTGTGTGTGCTGTGAGTGTTAGGGGTGCAGTGTGTGTGTGAGGGTGCTGTGAGTGTTAGGGGTGCAGTGTGTGTGTGTGTGAGTGAGGCTGCTGTGATTATACCTGATTGATTTTTCTCCCCCCCCTCCCTGCTTACCTTTAGCTTGGGAGGGGGGGGATCCTGCTGCTGGGGCTGACATCCATCCCTGGTGGTCCAAGTGGTGAGTGAACTCTAGCCTGTTGGGCTAGAGTTCACTCTCGCGAGACCCGGAGCATTGCCATGGCGCACGGATAGTGTCGGCCCTGCAAAGACCGGCAGGAAAGATCCTGTGATCTCCCTGCCGGCCTTGGCACGTGGCCACCGCGGCCCATTTGCCCGGTGTGCCCGATGGCCAGTCCGGGCCTGGTGACTGTATGAATTATTGCAAAAACACAATATTCAGGTATATAGTATTTAACATGGGTAAAAGGGAACAGCTTACTAACCCAAGGATATATCTGACTGCCATTCTGGAGTGGAAAAGGAATTGTTGCCTACATTCCCAAATTGGGAATGCTTCAAGCTGTTTTTATTGCCTTCTTTTGGATCAACAGCAGAAGCAGACTTGATGGAGGCAAGTCTTCTTTCAGCTTATGGAACTATGTAAGCTCACAGGTGGTGATGTACCAAGAGCTTATAAGAGGAATATTATAATGTAATGAATGTCTCATTAAATTTCAGAGGTTTAATCTCCCATGTATCAAATTATATATTATATATAAAAAAATATATATATATATATATTTGTAGTCGGGGCAATATTGCCGTGATGGTAGGGTAACATATGTTACGGCACCCCCAGGCATTAAAGGGGTTAAAAGCCGTTTAGAAGATCTTCCCCTTCCAGAGATACAGGCACAGCTACTGCAGAACACCAAACTCCAGAACCGCATATAAGGGAATGATCCAAACTCCCGAACTGCATACAAAATAGCACTCCAAACTCCCGAACTGGAACCTCACGAATAGCTGCTAGCAGACGAATAGGAAAAGCACCCAAGCGGCTTACACTCCTAGCAATCAGTCTCTATCAGCATACAGTAAATCCCCCCAAAGACGAGACAGAGCTCCGTCAAGCAGTGGTCTGGTTTAATGAGGGCTACCTGCCCAGTATTTATGCAGGTCTCCCACCTGGTGGACACTGCCCTAGGGGACCAAATGGGAGACTGTGACAAAGGACAGACATGAACCAATGACAGACACACAGAGGTAAAATATCCCCACAATGCATCCTAACTTCCCTCCCTCTGTCCTGGAGATAATTGGGAAGTAATCCAATTATCTCACAGGACAGAGGCAAAACTCCATTACCCACATGGTTACAGTAAAACACTAAAACACAATAAAATACACAATATTACATTTATCACACAAAATATATACTTGCAACCCATCCCCAGATAGCTGGGATCTGAGCGCACAAAATTACCGAATAGCGCTCAGATCCTATGCACACAGTCCGATCGCCATGGAGTTAAAGTGTTCCTAAAGTCTGTTCTCCATACGAATAGACTCCATGGGATGGCTATCTGGGGTAATGCTGTTCATACGGTTTAAACTACCGAATGAACAGGCATTCGGTTAACTGACCGAATGCAGAAGCAAGGAGGCTGACGGCTCAGCAGTGTTCGCGCAAATAAGTGTCCGTTTACAGTTTCACAGTTTGGGCGCTGAACACCGCTGGCCGTTCAGGACTTTAAAATGGCCACCACCACGTGTTCGGCAACCGAACAAAGGCCACCCAGCATTCGTCAATTAAGCTGCGTTTAACCGCAGCTTCTGGGAGGTTAATTGCCGACACATCCCAGGTGGTCCAGTCATTCGTGTGCCAGTTGGTAGATTGAATCTACCGACCGCCGGGCAGAAAGGCACAAATAAGCCTTTTCTGCAGGGGAAAAGAAGTCTTTTAACATGGGGCCATAATCCAAAGGCAACAGGCGAGCAACCAGGCTTCTCCAAAGCAATGTGGCGAGATTGCTCTCGTCACAACATATAATTCGTAACATATAATAGTGATTGGTGTGGTTGTTTATGGAAAGTGTTGAAATAGGTATCCAAAACCTTAAAGGATCACTATAGTGTCAGGAAAATAAAGCAGTTAAAACCCCTTAAGCAGCTTACTTTAATCCAGAGCCAATCTCCCTCGGCGCTGGTGACCTCTCCTCTAACGCCGACGTCAGTTCCCAAGTGAAGCGGAATGCTCAAGCGCGGCAAGTGCCGCGGGTGCATTTAAACTGTCTATAGGAAAGCATTTCTCAATGCTTTCCTATGGACATTCTGCATGTTGGGTGCAAATTTCGCATCCAGCGTCGCAGATGCGCCTCTAGCAGGAAGACAGCCACTAGAGGTTGGATTAACCCCTACTGTAAACATAGCAGTTTCTCTGAAACTGCTATGTTTACATGTGAAGATTTAAAACCTGACCTCATTGAGCTGAAGTGGTCTGGTTGACTATAGTGTCCCTTTAACGGGGCACCACTTATTATAGGTAGGGAAAAGATGTATGATGACACACTCTAAAGTGACAGAACATAATGGTCTAAGGATTTGTTCATATAGGCTATTTTAATGTAGTATGTGGCCATTACATTACTGGTGGTGAATTTCTTTGGACGTAAAAATCCATAAAAGGCTAGATAGATGGCTGTTTTAATTACCATATTGGTCATAAGTTCGAAAGGAGCTGTATCTAACAAGTTGGATAATGATTGGAATATTTTGTTGTGAATGGGTAGTCTTTGAGGTGGTAGATGTGTATCTATCTTTCGGATTCCCTTCAGTAAAGTCTTTATCTGGTATGATGAAAGGAATCCTATTTTATTAGGATGTTGTAATAGCATGTGGTGTTGGATGCCCGTTAGATAAAGTTTGATTGTGTTAAAAGATAATTTTAGGTTAAGGCGGCAAAAAGAAGTGAACCCCAATATAATTTTCAAAGCAAAGATGTCCTGAACTTGAAATTCCGCTATGAACTTAGGTTTTCCTAGAGTTAACTGAAAGTGCAAGGTGGGAAAGGTTACGTGCATGAATCAATAAGACATCTAATCCAGGAGCATGTCTTGGAATGACGGGGTGGAGGTAGCCAGCCGGGAAGCGGTGGGCAGAGTCTGGAGGAAGGCCTGAAATAAAAACTGAGACAAGTGATCAGCTGATATATTTGTGACACCTGGAACGTGAATGCAGGTGATGAAAAATTGGCAAGTGGCCGCTATCCATGTGAGTTTCCTTAAAAACCGCATAATTACAAAAGTCAGGCCTTTATTAACAATGTGACAAGTGGCTAGATTGTCAGAAAAATATCTGACTGAGTGACCAGCCCAGTCTGACCCCCAGGCAATAGCAGCGGCCACGATTGGGTATAATTCAAACATGGCCAATGTAGTGGAGAAGCTAGGTAGGGACTTAACTTCTCTCGGCCACAGACTTCTCTTGGTGAGACTAAATTCGGGCACCCCCGTAATCAGTAAAAATCAACAGACATAGCTTCAATAAAAATCAACAGACGTAGCGTCAGTGAAAATCAACAGGCGTAGCGTCAATAAAAATCAACAGACATGGCATCAATGAACATTGCGTCAGTGTCTCATTCCCCCATGTGTCTTATTCCTCCCCCCAGCCTATCCATGTGTCTCATTCGCACATACAGTTAGCAATTGAGAATAAATCCTTTCACTAGTTTCAACAATAAAAATTCATAATTTAATTTAAAAAAACTATTTTTTTTGTGTGTCAATTATAGAAATGTAAAATCATAACCAGCATTAAATGGTTAATTAAATCAGTGCAGTTTCTACAGAAGCAGCTATTGCCAGTAATCTAATCTGTCTTTTGCAGTGGGCTGACATACAATAAATATGTAAGGTATTTGAAACACAAAGAGAACAAATTAAATAAACCCGGTGAAACAGAATATGAAACCAGAAGGAAGTAGGTCAATGTATAAGCAGGTTTCTGGGAATAGAACTGATGTAAACTATGAGTTTATACAAATCACATTGGATAAATATAAAGTGTACCTGTTGTTACTCCAGGGCCCTGTCATGTAACCATTTGAAAACATCTATACAAGTGCAACAGGCATCCGGTAAGCTATGTTTAATTATACAAAACCTATATTTCTTTGCTTTTTTATTCTTAAAAACAAAACAAACAAAAAACAGGATGTCCTTCCATAGCAGCATTTTCAGATGAGGTGGGAGGATTTTGCAAAGAGTGCTAGATTACTCTGCGTGGCTTTTGAAGTGCACATTTAGTTGTAACTACAAAAACAATTGAATGACTGTGATGAGTCTCTTGGGTTTGAGGCTGAGGGTGGTGATGCTGAGGTTGGTGTGGGGGGTAGTGAGGCTGAGGGTGTGGGGGGTAGTGAGGCTGAGGGTTGAGGGTGTGGGGGGTAGTGAGGCTGAGGGTTGTGTGGGGGTGGTGGCCGGAGGGTGGTGCGGGGTAGTGAGGCTGAGGGCGGCAGGGTGTGAGGCTGGGGTGGTAGAGGCTGAGAGTGCGGGGGGTAGGAGGGCTAGGTGGTGGTGGGGGTAGTGGAGGCTGAGGGTGTGGGGGGTAGGAGGCTGAGGGTGGTGTGTGGGGGGTAGTGAGGCTGGCGTGGTGGTGGAGGCTGGGGGTGGTGGGGGGGGCAGTGAGGCTGGGGTGGTGGGGGGGCAGTGAGGCTGGTGATGCTGAGGGTGGTGTGGTGGGTAGTGAGGCTGAGAGGCGGGGTGGTGGATGCTGAGGGTTTGGGGGGTGGAGTGAGGCTGAGGGTGTGGGGTAGTGAGGCTGGGAGGGTGGTGTGGGGGGGATGGTGATGCTGAGGGGTGGGGGTAGAGGCTGAGGGTGGGGGGTAGTGAGGCTGAGGGTGGTGTGGGGGTAGTGAGGCTGGGGGTGGTGAGGCTGAGGGTGGTGTGGGGGTAGTGAGGCTGGGGGTGGTGTGGGGGTAGTGAGGCTGAGGGTGTGGGGGGTAGTGAGGTCAGAGAGATCAGATGAGTCCTTCAGGACTGTAGTGGACACTGAATACACTAGCCTCACTATCAATTTCTCTATCAAATCAGCAGCAGGTACACTGTCCCTCCTCTCACTAAGAATGCTGCTTCACAATGAATGTAAAATGGATGCTGTCCAGGAGGTGGGAGGGTCTGGGAGGGAGGGTCTGCTGCTGATTGGCTGGAATGTGTCTGCTGACTGTGAGGTACAGGGTCAAAGTTTACTCAATGATGACGAATAGGGGGCGGACCGAACAGCGCATATGTTCGCCATCCGTGGCGAACGCGAACAAGTGATGTTCGCCAGGAACTATTCGCCAGCAAACCATTCGGAACATTACTACTCAGAATGTATCTAATACGTAATGGAATGTAGAAGGGGAAGCAAAGTTGGTTGAGGTGTGCTGAAACCAACGTACCAGTAGGCCTGTAAAAAGAGGGCCCACAAAGATGAGTGTTAATATAGATGGGTGTAGGTGGGTGGGGACAAACGGCTTGCAAGACAAAGATAAGTAGAGGAGTAGGGTTTATATAGGATCATTACTCCTCCCACAAATTCAGGCCAAATGGCCTTCCAACTTGTGCTCGGAATTTATCTAATACGTAATGGAATGTAGAAGGGGAAGCAAAGTTGGTTGAGGTGTGCCGAAACCAACGTACGAGTAGGCCTGTAAAAAGAGGGCAAAAGAGGATTCAAAGAAACCACACTTTATTGCAAGTTAATACAGCATGAGTAACGAAAGCTTGTAAGGTGCTTCACTCTGATTGAGGTATGTAAGTACCTGAGCTTATGCTTCTTGTGACCCCATTGTTTGTGATGTTGACTGGGGTGTAAGTGTTTGAAGCTGCTGCTGTAGTGCCTTTGGAGACGTACCAGCTGAGTGACAGCATAGAAGGTTTTAAGTAAGAAGCTTGGGTTGTGAGTTTAGAGAAAAAGGAAAAAAAATTACCATGATTATAACAGCGAGGTTCTCGAATTTAAGCCAGCTCCTGTATGTGTCATGTTGCAATACAGTAAGCCCTGGCGTATGTGAAGGGAAAGTCGTGACCCTGTGTGAAGCGTGCGTACCTGTGCGAGGTGCAATTATGTGCTTAGTCCCAGATTAGCTTGTGGAAAGGTGGTATCCTAGATGGAAAGTGGTGAGCCGTGGGGAGTGCCTGGAAGAAGGTATCAAATTGGGAGCGTGATAGAGCGTCAGCTGCTGTGTTGTGGACACCAGGAATGTGGATACAGACTAGGAAGAACTGAGAGGTGGCTGCCAACCACGTCAGCCCGCGAATCAGCCTCATAATTGTTAGGGAGGAGTACCGACCTTTGTTAATGATGTCGCAGGCTGCGGAGTTGTCAGAGAAGCATCTAACTGCCTTGCCAGTCCAAAGGTGACCCCACGTGTGGGCGGCCGCTACGATGGGGTAGATCTCAAATAAAGTAGATGTTTCTTTAAAGGCCGGCAAGGCATGCGTCTCAGGGGGCCAGTCGTCACTAAACCAGTGGTTGCTGTAGATGGCTGCGAACCCTGTGTGTGCCGCTGCATCTGTGTGAATCGAAGGTGAGTGCTCTGAAAATGAGGGAATGAACAAAGAGATCCCATTCCAATCGGCCAGAAAACTACTCCACATGTGTAAATCCGCCCTAGCCGGATCGTCCAATATGATTGGGCATGAGTCGGGCACACCGTGGAGCAAGTTGAGAAGCCTGGAGACAAAATATCTACCCTGTGGAATGATGCGCATAGCAAAGTTGAGGGACCCCAATAAGGACTGGAGGCAGGGCCGGTGCAAGGATTTTTGCCGCCCTAGGCAAAAGTAAAGTTTGCCCCCCCCCATGTGACATCACAATGCCCCACCCATATGATTTGCCATGTTAACTAACGCCAGTGCTGCAGTGCCGCCGTGTTTACATTAAAAGGCCTGCAGGGACAGGCTATAGACACCAGAACCACTACATTAAGCTGAAGTGGTTCTGGGGACTAAAGTGTTTCTTTAATGTGAGGTAAATTAGAGCTTAGTGCCACGAATAATATACTAGATTGCCTACTTACAATCAGATGAGGATGGTGATGGGCTCTAGCTGCAGTCTGGCTCCACTCGTCTGGAGGCTGTTTGTGTTCTGGGAGAACGGGAAGCAGCTCCATTTTTTGGGGGCCCTTTATACAGCTCAAGGTCTGGGCCCCAGGGTCCACCTTCATGTTCCACCAATTATTTTGTTCACAGGAGTAGGGGATGTCCTGATATGTGTGTAAGGAATGCATTGTGTGAATCTGTGTTTGTATGTGTAAGGGCTGCAATGTGTGTTTCAATGTATGTACGGGATGCAGTGTGTGCGTCTGTAAGGGGTGTATTGAGTGTGTGTAAGGAATGCATTGTGTTTCTGTGTGTGTAAGGGATGCATTGTGTGTAAGGGTTGAATTGCTTGTGTGTGTGTGTGTGTAATGCATTGTGCGTTTTTCTGTGTGCAAGGGGTGCATTGTGTGTGTGTGTGATGGATGTCAATCTCTCCCCCCTCCCTTGTCCCTCTCTTCTCCCCCTCTCCCTCCCTCGTCACTCTCTTCTCTCCCCCCCCTTGTCCCTCTCTTCTCCCCCCCTTGTCCCTCTCTTCTCCCCCCTCTTGTCCCTCTCTTCTTCCCCCTCCCTTGTCACTCTCTTCTCCCCTGCGTGTCCCTCTCTTCTCCCCGTCCCTTGTCACTCTCCTCTCCCCCGTTGTAACTCTCTTCTCCCCTCCCCACTCTCATTCCCC